TAGTCATGTATATGAGTCCTTTGTAATTAATTGGAAGTTTAGAGCGTTAGTCTAATAAGTGCTGAAGTAATCGGAAACGTCGAGCTGTTTCTTGTCGTTTCAGTCTGGTATTCCTTCTTCTTCTTCTTTGTCTTCCTCCTATGCCATTAATTAGCGTCGAGGAGCCTCAACCAGTGCAGCCACTCTTCCCGGTCCCTGCTTAGTCGCTTCATCTCATTAAGGGTTTTGCCTCTTTTACATCCAATCCTTTGAATGTAATCCTGGAACGTGAGTCTGGGGCGTTCGCGTGGTCTCCTTCCTGTGGGTCGAGCCTCTAATATCCTTATAGGATTCAAATTCTCATTCATGCGGCAGACGTGTCCAAACCACTGGAGTTGCCGTCTTTCTAAAGTAGTTTTAAGTTCGGCAACTCCTAGCTGCTCTCTAATGCTTTCATTCCTAATGCGATCCCTTCTAGTTCTGCCAACAGATCTGCGAAGGAACCTCATTTCTGCTGCCGTTATGCGACTAGAGTGCCTGTCTAGCATTGTCCAGCTTTCTCCGCCGTAGGTGAGTGTAGGTAGGTAAACAGACTTATATACGTGCATTTTGGTCTTCTTGTCTACTTCGCGATGGCCGATAATGCTATTAGTAGTCTGGTAATATACCTGATTCGCCTTACATATTCTACTTGATATTTCGGCGTCTATCTTACCAGAACTACTAATTACGGTCCCCAGGTAGGTATATTCAGTCACCACCTCAAGTGTCTCGCCATTGCAGATCAGCTGAACATCTTCTCGCTCTTCCCTCGTCATAACCAGCACTTTACTCTTGGAGGTGTTAATTTGCATCCCTTTCCTGAGCAACTCTTCCTCCCACTCTACCAAAGCTTGTTGTAGTTTGGTCTTTGTGTCGGCTATTAGGACTATGTCATCCGCGTATAGAAGGCTTTGTATGAGGACAGTTCTCAGATTCCACTTCCCAATTGTTGTCCACGCAGTTCGGCGTTTACAGATTTTGTGGATTTCATCCATTACATTTATAAATAGAAGGGGACTTAAGCTATCTCCCTGTCTAACTCCTCTCGCAATTGGAAAAGGTTCCGATTCCATACCGTTCATCCTTACCACTGCCATGGCTCCTTGATAGGCTGACTGTATGGCCGCCAGCAAGTCTCCAGGTACACCCTTGGCTATTAGGGCATTCCAAATTTCTTTTCTTGGAACCACATCAAACGCTGACTTCAGATCAAGGAACGCAAGATACAGATTTTTATCTCTGTCCCAAGCTTTTTCAGCAATATTTCTGAGAACAAAGATGTGATCCTGCGTCTGTCGGCCTGGACGAAAACCAGCCTGTTCCGCTTCTAACTGCCCTTCCACAATCCGTCGGAGTCTCCTTTCTAGTATGGAAGTATAAAGTTTATAGACCACTGATAGCAGACTAATGGGTCTATAATTTTTGCAATCTGTCGTGCATCCTTTTTTTATAAATCGGGAGGATTATACAATATTCCCAGTCCATGGGAATTTTCTTTCTGTCATATACTTCTTGGAACAGCGATTGTAGTGCTTTAAGAAGTTCTTGACCACCGAATTTTAAATATTCTGGTGCGATTCCATCCCTTCCTGATGCCTTACCTCTTTTTAGCTTATGGATTGCATTTTCTATTTCTTCTTCCTCTATAACCTCCAGGCTTTCTTGAATATTGGGCTCTTGTTCTTGATAATGGTCTGTTTCTGGATTTTCGGAGAATTGTTCCTGGAAATATTCCTTCCATCTGCCAAGGATCTTTTCCTTGTCTGTAAGTAGGATTCCATCGCTACCTTTTACATTTCTAATAGGCTTGCATTGTTTTCCTCTTAACATCTTAACTTTTCGCCAAAATGTTCTTATAGATTCGCGGTGATCCTCGCTCAGCCTTTTACCAAACTCCTCCCACGACTTCTTCTTCGCCTGGCGTATGGCTACCTTACATTCATTCCTGGCTATTCGATATAAGTGTAGCTTTCCTTCAGTTCTATCCATAAGGTATGCTTTCCAGGCAAGCTTCTTCCGAGAAACCAGTCGTTGGAGATCATTGGTCCACCAGTCTGTCCGCTTTCCCTTGCCAGACACTCTCTTCTTCCCACAAACTGTATTTGCTGTTTCCAGAATACATATTTTCAGTGCCTTCCATATCTCTTCCACATCTCCATCGAATGACGTTTCCCTTAATTTATTTTCCAGGCTTTCTGTAAAGAGGGCCCTTTTCTCTGGGTCATCCAAGGCTCTTTCGTTGAGGGTTTCAAATACTTTTGTCTGGTATTCCATAAATTTAAATATCACGTGGTGGGTTAAGGATATGATTTTTTTAAGGAGATAAACGTTTTTTAAGATTAGAGGAAAAATAATGCCTTTAGCGATAAGATCTTTACATTTTTTCCTGGCGCATGTTTATATTTAGTAGCTGAAATACTCGAGTTACAGTTAAAAAAATACAATATATATTGATGGTCTAAGCATTTGGTAACTCGTATAAACCAATATAGACCAAAAAATATTTATTTTTTGGGTGGTGGAAGCTTCAGTCCGAATGTCCATAAAATAACTTCTGGAATGTTAAAATTACTTTTTGCTAATAAAATAATATATTTAATTTTGAGAGTTATCCAATCATGTGACTTGGAAAATAAACATCACTTTTCTCATCCACCCCTTTGAGAATTTCATATCGACAAATTAGCTCCTGTGGTTAATTAGTTAATCTGGGAAAATTGCATCGAAGGTTCCCTTCAGTTATTAATCATTCTTAAGTTGACAACCCTAATTAAAACGGATTACATTCCAACACGGATTTAATCTCCATATTGCCAAGCAATCTTAGCAGAGCCTCTTATTTATATCCCCAATTACAGCATGTTTACTAGTCTGCAGTGTTTAGTCCAAGTTCTGCACTGTAAACTCTTCACCAGATTTTTATCAAAATCTATTGCTAATTTATTAATAAAGATTTTTTATAATATGAATAAGTTTTTTTCACTGCTAAATTTCTAAATGACCCTTTTTTTTTTAAATACTTTGGAACTCTCAAGTACTTTTAAGTAATCTATCTCTATATCAAATAAAACAAATAGAGATAATACTTATTGTCTGTACTAATTTTTTATCACGTTTCCTAGCGAAAACTTCTCTTAAATGCCATAAAATATAATCTAGGAGCAAAATTTTAATGGTGCTCTACAAAGTAAAGAACTTCTATTATAGAAAGGATCACAAGTTACTATTAATGAAAAAGTACTCGTGAAAAATACTACAAAAGTCCTCGTGAAGACTACAAATTGCGCCATTCAAATTTTCGAGGGGGAGACATAGGATATTTTGAATTTTTGGAAGGAGCTATATTTTTGTGGAGTTTTAATTCTAGAATTTGTAAAACGAGGAACAAGGAGAAAAACCAAAATATAGTTTTTATAATCTTAATTTCATTTGCGCCGTTTTAAATAAAAGGAGAGCAATAAAGAATCTTCGTAGAGGGGGTGGGCAGGCATGGCTGCTTACTTACGTACTAGAAAAGCTGCTAACTGCTTGAAAATTATATTATTATAAAAAAAAATATCTTATCCTGCCTTACACAACTGTATGCGGATTTAAAGTTTCCTTATAACCAAGTCGGCACAAAAACCCTTAAGCCGATGGAATATCCCTAAAAGGCAGAGACCGTTTTCGAATCATCATCTGTAATACTAGGCATAATCATAATACTGTAATACATCATCCTTTTAACATTATATAGCTTGCCAAATATATTGTATATTAGTCATTGTTTCTATATCCATGGGCAATCTTGGGACTTCTTACGAAGTGGAGGGGTGTTCATCAATATACCTTACGGGATATCTGATTCCAGGTGCAGTTACGATTACGTGGAAGTGTCCGGGTCCAACGGGACGAAGAAGTTGTGTGGAGATTGGTCTGACAGGCTGAAGCTCCTGAGGCAGGTCTTCACAGGCCCAAAGCTGAAGATCAAGTTCGTCTCGGATTACAGTCACCACTTCACGGGCTTCAAAGCAAGGGTTTCAGTTGGGCATAGTAAGTTTATTCGAGCTTTCTTTTTTTATTACACGCTTATTTCTCTTGTTTGAATTCCTTGCTACCTTTCTATACCAAACCATCAGAACTCAGCGACCTTCCTATATTTTTCACAGCCTACAATTTAAATATTCCATTCAATCCCGTCCCACTAGATCCCGTACTTCTGACCTCTATCCACCTCCTCCCTGAACTGCTGCGTTTGACAAATCTTTTATAATTCAAGCCGTCTCCAACTGAAATACCATCCCTCCCGATATCCGACATGCGCAATCAGTTTCCTCATTTAAATCCCTCCTTTTTAAGCACCTACTTCTTTCCCAACCCGATTGAACATGAAAAGTAGATAAGAGAACTTTTTAAGTTCCCCAGAAATGGTTTTGTTTAATTATGTTATATTATTTTTACATGTTTGTATTGTATATATATGAATGTATTTAGTGGTTTTCTTTCATTTTTCATCCAATATTTTTATTTTAATGAGAATTGTAAATATTTAATTTAATATTATGGCCACACAGGCATTTCCTCTGTATCTATAATTTGTCCTAAAGGGACAAAAGTCCCAGGATAATAAAAATCTATTTTCATTTCATTACTAATTAAGATCTTAATAATCATCTTATAAGATATATGTATATAGGATATTCGTGACAAACTATAGCTTCTATTTCGTTACTTATATGTTTTTGAAGGATTCTACAGAAGTAGAAGATCCATAGGAAATTCATAATTCTTATTTTACCAAATTTTCTTATTAGAAAAACTGCTCTATTAAGTACGATTTCAGTTATACAATCCTTCATTTCCATTCTATTCAAAAATTGACATAGTAACATAACCAGCTGATCATTAATATATATTTGGCCTTTTAGCTTGGCCAGAGTGTGGTAACGACAAACTTTGGCCGATGTTCAACAACAGCTGCTACTTGGTCGTGAGCTACCCGGAGGTGTCTTGGGGAACTGCGAATAAGATATGTCAGGATATCAAGGTAAGATATCAGTATCTGTTTATATATATATATATATATATATATATATATATATAGAGAGAGAGAGAGAGAGAGAGAGAGAGAGAATAGAATAGAATAGAAAAATAATTTTATTCTGGGACGAAGTCCAGTATTTATATATAAATATATATATATATATATATATATATATATATATATATATATATATATTTAGTATTTATATATATATATATATATATATATATATATATATATATAAATACTAAAAATAGTGATATCAGAATAACCGAAACCAATGAATAAGGACTATTACTTCATTTCACTTATAAGAAGAGGTTTCCGACGTGGAGACACCGATTTTAACGAAACTAATTTTTTTTTTTTTTTGTTGCTAGTTCGATAAATATTAGACCCATATCCGAGATTTCTTTCCAATGTGCAAATCGACTGATACATTACAACCTAAACATTTATGCAGAGCAAAGACAAAGAATAACTTTAAAAAAATATATAAAATTTATTTTCTCTCAGCTCCTTTGGACTCATTGGTAAGAATCCTCGTATAAGGATCTGATATTTTTTTTACTTAGTATCACCAAAAACATATTAATTGAAATCAATGATGCCACCTTCTTAACCTCACCATCTAAGTAAAGTAGGTGAAATCCATTTAAACGTAGTATCGTTTATGTCAGAATTTCAAGAATTAGCTTACAAAGTAACATTTCTGAAACTTTATAGTTAATTAGATTGTATATAGAAGATTAATTGACGATTTAGTTTGTGATTGAGTCATTATAATATATAAATATTATCATTGGGCTGGTTATTTTTATTACAAGTCTTAAATTATTGAGTTTGAGGAAAAATACAGTTTCCTGGTCTTGGGGAATTAATTGACCGAGCTTTGACAAGACAAGAAGTAGACCTCTGTCGGAGTAGTTTTACCATTTCTTAAAATTGTTTTCACGTATGGTAAATCAAGATGTATGCGAATTTCATATTTTTATTTATTATTTGATGTGAACAACTGAAAATTTATAATAAATTAATACCAAAAATAATCCGACGCGGCCCAAGGACCTATTTAGTTTCTAATAGAACTACTTCTTTAATTATGATATTATTTTGTTAGTATTACTATAATTATATAATGGACTAAGGGGGCACCCCATGTCCTCCTAGCGGCAGACTAACTCCCGATTTACAAATCATACAAATGTTCATTTAATTGTACTACTCTTAGCTCAAATTGTATAACTTTAATTTACATGTATTCTGTTGTTCAAATTGTATTATTTTTTATCAACATAAAACAATTTGTTTATCAACATAAAAAAATAAAATTTCCAGTACAATTTTTTAAGTCTAAAATCTTAATTTTGTAGTAGGAGAGTAGGAGGTGACAGGAGTTTAACCCATATTCAATTAAATAAATAGCTGTATCATTTGTAAAATAATCGCCGAGCTCCTGTTATCTCCTACTATCCTAATACTAAAATAAAATAAAATATGAAAGTCCCAAAAAACTTTTTTAAACATTATAATAGAGAGATATAAGTTGAACTTTGATTCTACTATTAATTTGTTACAAGTTCAATAACAGATAAAAAAAAGTGTATTTTTACTAAATGAAGACAAAGTCATAGTGGGCAAAGTTTTAAAATTAAATTATTTATTTTTGATAATATGTAGAATTAATTATATTATATAACATAGTTATCGCATGTCAGGTTCTGAAAATCCTTCTAAACTTTGTTTTGAAATAAAATGTCAATTTGAAAAATATATCGAAAACAATAATTTTACTTATATCAAAGTTGACAATTGTGCATGTACAATAATAATTGGGTACACCCTAACGATGGCATTAAAAACACTTTATTATAATATTGTAGCTATAATATTTTAAAGGTGTACCTCCCAATAAATTATTACCTGTTTTAACGTTATTCGCTGCTCTGAATTAATAGTGCATTATTACTTCCATTAAACTGAGAGGACGATGCATTTAAAATACACTGTACATCTTAATATGCTCCAACACATTATCTAGACTCGATTTATAGTTTTGGGAATTAATTATAAATGAAAAATAAATTATAATGCTACATAATTTTTTTTTCTTACTTTGCATTTGTGAGCAGAGGCTTTTTATTATACCACTGGGCATAAAAAAAATGATGACATTTATCTCTTATATAGCTTGGCCAAGCTAGGGAAAATTGGGAGAATAGGAATAGCGTAATAAAATGTAAGAATGGGCTATTTTTATTTCAATCTTGAGGTGAATATGTGGTGCTTAGTATACCGCCACCCGATGCCGGGGGGGGGGAAGCTTTGAACCCTGGTGTTAATCCCCCGCACTCACCCCTTGGCCGGAAAAATACCAAAAATGGTTAGTATCTCAGTAACGTGCGGCGCTTCTATAATCAAGATTCCAAGTTCGAGTCCGGCTGTGGTAGCTAATTATTTGTTCTGTTACATCAGCCATGGACAGATGCTATAAAAATTATACCCTGTATTAAATATTGAATTGGGGGAGAGAGAAGAAATCTGGCGGTTGAGAGTGACGTCGGCCTAACCTCCTCCCTGCATTGACATTGGCCTTGAAATAGTACTTCCCCATACAAAGTACTGAACTTAAGACCCTTCATGGGTTGTAGTAATACAAGTTTTTTTTATTTGTTTTTCGGATAAGAATTGATTTTCTGGACGTTAGAACCTGAGAAGTAGAAGAATATTGTTTGTTTGCCTAACCCCAGAGTTTTCCAATAAATCTGTTCCGACGGCAATTCGTTACCACCGGAAGATGGTGATGATCAGCGCATAGGTCCTTGATCTCCCTGTTGTTTATAGCCAAGGACGCTCCAGCGATTTCCTCTCCTGGAGTGGAACGACCCGGAGAACAAACTTCTGGGAACCCTGGAGCCAAATTCTTCCAGCTAGAAGCATTTTTTATCCTTGTTTTTCAAAACTCATTATTCTCTTTGACTGCTCTATTGGTAGCTTTCACTTTTACCCATTTTTCCTTTTTATAAGAGCCGACATTATTACTTTTCTACCTTATTTTTTATTCAATGTCATTATGGGAAAATAAGTTTTAATTTTCCTTCATAAAAACTATAAATCAGTTTCTACTAAATATTAAAAAAAAAATCTTTGTTTTCCTAAAAATATAAACAATCAACGGTTGCGAATTTTTTTTTTTAAATTAGAAACCAAACATTTTTTAATTTAGGGAGTGTGCCCATGTCATAATTCTTGTTCTGTTCACATTTACTAGTTGTATTTTATTTAATTTCAAATAATTTTAATCTAAATTTCAATAATAAAAAAGTAATTAAATGTTAACTCGATGGTATTTAGCAGAAATGAACCAATCCACAAAATATGCAAATATGAGTTAGATCTGGTTTTTGATGGGACATGTCATTATTATTTTTAACACAGAACAGTAAGGAATAGAAAATCGAAGTTTAAAAAATATTGAAACTACAATTTTAATTCTTCAGTTAAAAAATAAAATCGTCAAACCGAAATAAAGTTAATTTTTAATCAATCTATAGATATAATTGCAATATTTAGGGTTGGATTAAATGTAGAATAAAATTAAGTTATTGATACAAATTAAACAAGCATATTTGAAATTGCATTTTACTTTGACTTGGATTTACTCAAAACGTAGCCTGGATTGATTGATTAATTAATGTGGAATGTTTATGTTCTCTTAAACGTCGTAAAACTAGCTCTATTTGACCAGATATATAATTATTTAAATTGGGTTGTGAACACGCTGCACCATATTTTTGCCATAACTGAATTTATGATGAATAGACTAAATGCAACGAAAACGAACGCTCTCTAAAAATAGAAAAAATCCCACAGCAAATAGGCCATCTGACTCAACTAAATGGGCAGGCGACCGTCGCCCCATTTCCTCAAGAACCAATAGTAAATCTCAAAGTTGGCAACATTCCTGCTTCAGCTGTTTTTCCGAATTGGCGCCGAAAAGGAGTTTTTTCTCGACACGCCTACTTTTTTTTTTAATGAATGGTCTCATTACGTTTTATCTTGTAATTTATTAAAGCTTCAATATAAATACTATAAAGTAGCAGCTTAAAAATATTACTTAGCTACTAATTTGATTAATACGTAAATCTTCAAGTAGATGCAAGATGACATTGGTAAAGGCTAAACTATATGGAAAATAAATAATTATTTTTTAATTCAAAAGTAGATATTAAGGCCAAATGCAGCTACAAAAATTTAAAGCTGAGGATGACGAAGATGGAGAAAAACTCGAAGAATAAAATTAATTTTACCAATGAGAATAAAACAATTAATATTTTAATTAATTAATTTTTTTTTAACTTCTTTATTGAGATATTACAATCTGTAACATTCAAGGACAATAGTAATAATGATATAGAGTAGCTCATTCATACCATACAATAAATAAAATAATAAACGGCAATATAATAATACTAAAGTAAATTGTATATAAACTAAAAGATATTAAACTAAATAAAAATAAATCAATCTAACAAAATAAATAAACCAGACATACATGGCTTGAGTGGAGAATCCGGCCATTGGAAACTCCTATATATTCTTACAACAAGTATCTGGGTCACTGCCGCTTCAAACTTCGAGGAGGATGGTAGGGATGGCTGGAGCTAGATAGGGATTGTGCAATTGGATTTTAAAAAGAAATTAAATTAATTAATTTAAAGAGAAAAATAGGATCTTTAAGAGATTATATCTTTTTTTATAGCCTTATGTGCTAGAGAATCAATATTTATATTCATATCGATATTTCAAGTCCGATATTTTGAAGGTACCAATAGTTATAGGCCGATATAAATATGAATGACAATATCGATATTGGACCTTCGATATCCCATCCCTATGTCACACTGTAAATAAAATTAAGAATAGGATGTTTATAAATTTATTTTAAAATAATTCACGATTCTAGCTTTATGACTGTTTCAAATTAATGTAATTACTACACT